CAGCCCTCCGCGATGGGTCCTGCACCTCCCACCTCCTGCTCTGCTCCCCACCGCCTCTCCTGAGCCCTCCCCGCACCCAGCCTTCTGCCTGATTCTACACCCCCACCGCCTGCACAGAGCCCCCACTCACCCAACTCTGAACCCTCCATCACCCAACATATGGGAAGTGCAGACTTGGACTCCAAGGGGGAGTCACTAGCAAGGCAGTGGGGTCTGCAGGAGCCGATACTGGTAAGTGCCCCTAATCTCCCAGCCCCCTGCCCTCAGCCCTCACCTATGACTTGAACTCCCAACTCCCTGCTCTGAGACCCTCCTCACTCCTAAATCCTCACTTCTGCAGCTCCACACCCTAGGCTGTGTCTAGACTACATGGCTCCATTGATGGAGCCATGTAGATTAGGGTTGTAGGCAAAGGGAAATGAAGCCGTGATTTAAATAATTGCCGCTTCATTTAAATTTAAATGGCTGCCGTGCTGAGCCGACAAACAGCTGTTCAGCTGTTTGTCAGCTCAGTGCGCTAGTCTGGACGCTCCGCGATCGACATCAAAGCCCTTTGTCGACCACCCCTTTATTCCTCGTGGGATGAGGTTTACCGGGGCGGTCGACAAAGGGCTTTGATGTCGACCGTGGAGCGTCCAGACTAACGCGCTGATCGGACAAACAGCTGATCAGCTGTTTGTCGGCTCAGTGCGGCAGCCATTCAAATTTAAATGAAGCCGCGATTATTTAAATCGCCTCTTCATTTCCCTTTGCCCAATAAACAAATTACATGGCTCTGTTGACAGAGCCATGTAGTCTAGACATACCCCTATTGCCCCTGCCCAGTGCCCCTCCTCATCCCCAAACCCTCACTTCTCAATCTGCTGTGCCCCCAGCCACCTGCCCATAGCCCCTCCTGAGCAACAGTCCCCTGCCTTGATTCCTACTCCCCCCACCTTCCCTGTGTCTGCCATCCCTGACCCTGACACCTAAATTAATGGAGATTACTGATCTCCTAGAACTGGAAGGGACCTTGAAAGGTCATCAAGTCCAGTCCCCTGCCTTCACAGCAGGACCAAGTACCATCCCTGACAAATTTTTGCCCCAAATCTCTAAATGGCCTCTACAAGGATTGAACTTACAACCCTGGGTTTAGCAGGCCAATGCTTAAACCACTGAGCTATCCCTCCCCCAAAATAGAGATTGCCTATCTCCGGAAGAGACCTTGAAAGGTCATTGAGACTGCTCCCCTGCCTTCACAGCAGGACCAAGTACCTGCACCCCTCTACCCTGATTCCTGCATCTCCAAACCTGCATCTCCTGCCCTCAGCCAGTCTAAACCTCCCAATCCCCTGTCAAGACTCCTTTACCCCCACATGCCCACCTCCTGCCCTGAGCCACCCCACAACTCCCAATCCCCTGCCCTGACTTCTGCTCCTTCCACACCATACCCTGAAATAAGGAGTGGAACAGCACTCAGAACATCTTCTAGTCTTTTATATTTCTTCAAAACACATAGGTCATATTGATCAGTACCGGGTCACCACATTTCTTAGTCATCAGAGTCATTTAGACTCAAGATTTCCATCCTTTTCTCGTCTTTCATTCTCACTTGCATATTTGTCTCTCCACGCTCCCTCCATTTTGATTAGTGCAAAACACCAGCTAGATTTGGAGCTTGTCCTTTAAAAGCTTCCTTGCCAATAAAACATTGACTATGTAGGGTTCTAGTTAATTAACTCATAGTGACGGAGGGCACATCATATGGTTGATATGCTCAATAGGCCTGATCACATTCTGGCTAGGGCTGTCAAGCAATTGAAAAATGTAATTGTGATTACTCACGGCAGCATTTCAACAGGGCAGTGCTGCATGGGGCCCAGGATCAGCTGGAGTCCACAACTGACCCCGGGGCTCCATGTAGCACCTCCCCTTGGAAATGCCGTGGTGGCGTTTCCAAAGGGCAGCGCATTAGGAGCCTGGGATCAGCTGAGGACTCCAGTTGATCCCCAGCTCCACGTTGCAAAGCCCCTTTGAAGTGCTGGTCCAGAGCTTTGAAGGGGTTTTGCAACAGCAGAGCCAGGGATCAGCTGGGGACCTGTGCCGCCCCTTTGAAGCACCGGAGCAGCACTTCAAGGGGGCTGCACAGTATTAACGCCTGCGATTAACATGTTAAGAAAAATATCGCGTTAATCCTGTCGTGCATTAATCGCAGGCATTGATGCAGGTCAATTGAGAGCCCTAATTCTGGCCCTTCCAACTGTGAAGGTATACACCTTTCAAGTCTAGAGTAGCACTCAGTTGTCAAAGTCCTGTCTTCTCCAGCATGTTTAAAGCCAATGACCCCGAGCAAGCACATTTCCAAGATATAGTTTCCCATTTTATCACAAAGCTCTTTGGTTTTCACCCCATAAATGTTGTGGTTGAGCAAGGGGGGCACAAGGAAACAGAGGTCGGCCATGATGATGTGGACATCGGGAGTGATGCTCTGACTGAACCAACGAGTCAGAGTGGAGAAGAGGGAAAAAATGCTAGACGTCACCATCAAACAGACATGGGCGGTCAGGTGTCAAGGACTTTCTGGTGGGCATTTTTGGAAGAGAGTCTGAGGACAGCCTTGATGATCATGGCATAGGACAGGACAATGACAGTCACTTCTGCTTGCTGTGATGCCCCACATGACATCTTTGCAACAGCCATGTGGTCGCAATACGTGTGGGGGATAATGTGGTAGGTACAGAGTGACAACCTTCTCAGGAGCACAGGCAAGGGCAGAATTAAGATTATGGCTCTTATCAAACCCTCTAGCCCTAGTCTAGCTATTCATGCCTTGGTGAGGGTGGTGGCGTATCTCAGAGGGTTACATTTGGCAACGTAGCAATCAGCGGCCATTGTCTTGACAATGGCGGAGTGCAAATTGGAGCCTGCTTGAAGGAAGAACAGCTGGGTGAGGCAGGCACCTACAGTAATGTCTTTCAGATTGAATCAAAATATGCCCAGTAGTAGTGGTGATGTTCGTCAGCACCAGCATACATTGGTTTCTGTAGCATCTGCTCTTTGCCTAGAACAAACAGAACCAAGACATTTCCCAACAGGCTGCCTATGTAGAACGTAGCAAACGGGATGGAAATCCAGATGTGGGCATCTTCCTGGCTGGGGATGCCCATGAGGATAAAAGTTGAAAGGCCTGAAGGGGTGAGGCTGAAAGCTGCCATAAAGTGATCCATGGATTTGTAGGGTTCCGAAATCCCAACATACCTGAGAAGGGAGGGAAGCAAAGTGAGGGAGGCTTACATACTTAATAACAAACAGAACAGTGAATCTCTCTCTCTATATATATATACAAAAACTTTTCCTGTGGGATGACAGAGTGATGTCATCATGTCACTCAGGGTACGTCTAGACTACAGGCTTTTGTTGACAGAAGTTTTGTTGACAGATACTGTCGACAAAGCTTCTGCCGACAAAGAGTGTCTAGATTACATCCAGTTCTGTCGACAAAGCAAGCTGCTTTCTTGACACGACAGTGTAGATGCAAAAGACAGTGTTGACAAAAGACGTTATTCCTCTTAGAATGAGGTTTACCGCCATCGACAAAACTGCTGAGTTCTGTCGACGTTATGTCGGTAGCAGTGTAGACGCAGGTATAGTTTTGTGGTCAAAAGTCCACTTGGCAGTTTTGTTGATGGCTGTAAACCTCATTCTGCGAGGAATAAAGTTCTGTCGACAGAAGGCATTATTGCATCTACACTGTCCTTTGTGTCTACACTGTCATGTCGACAAAGCGGCTTGCTTTGTCGACAGAACTGAATGTAGTCTAGACGCTCTTTGTCGTCAGAAGCTTTGTTGACAGTTTCTGTCAACAAAACTTCTGTCAACAAAAGCCTGTAGTCTAGACGTACCCTAGGTGACCCTGTGTCCCATACTCATAGTTGTATGATTATGATGTAATTATGCCATATAGGATACATTTTGTACCAAATCCGGCTTGTCAGGTATCACTGGAAAAGCTCTGATCTCTTTTGCATGTACCATTTTTGTCTTTGAAGTTATGAACATTGATTTCTGTATTTCAGATGTAGTTACAGCTGGGTGATCCCCTGCTGTGAAAAATATTACACAGTGTGTTGTGCCTCAGTGTATCTTGCCAGCGACTCTTTCTGACCAGCAGAAAGGAATAGCCTTAGTGCCATTGGTAAAGATTTATCAGGCAGGCTGCCTGTGTCTGTTATTGGGGTGAAAAGAGGAAGAGACAAGAAAAGTCCTAGTCAGTGATTATGGGCACCATATAGTAGAGGTTTTTTGAGGTATAAGTGATGGACTTTATAGAATTGTGTGATTTTGTAATTACAAACAGTTCTCTAGGTTGTCGTAAGAATGTTTTGATATGAATGCGGAATGTGGGTGTTAATTAGATAAGTTCAAAGGTCATTTCGAGGAACAGATGTACTAAAAGGATGGGGGCGGGGAGCCCGGATCTCAGAGGCACCGGGAGGTCACATAACTCTGCTTGTCATGACAAGAACAGATTGATGAACCTACAGGTGGAGGAAGAACCCCAACCCCTGGGAACAAAGAGATAAGCTGAAATCCATATGGGGCAAATATCTGAGAGTGCAAATGTTCAAAGAATAGAAAAACAACTTGAAGCTAAACACGTGTGTAAATATAATTGATTTCAACATAACACCATTAAACCCATAGACTCAAATGGGAGCCGAGGACTATAAGAATAGGCAACTTTGCAATGGTTCTCTGGATTTGACCTTCCGAGCAACAGGCTCAGAGCATTGGATTCATGGCTGACAGAATCCGTCTCCCCCACTCAAGCCCAATTTCTCTGGCCATTAGATTGGTCCGAGGCACAGACTGGTGGGACAACACTGGGGGGACAATGTGAGGGTGTGTGTGTATGCATATGTTGATTTCTGTATTATGTTCCCAATAAATGCTCTGTATTGCCTTTTTCCTGACAAAGATCCTGTGTGCTTCTTATAAGCCTCATACCATTCATGGAAAAAATGGCCTTCAGGAAGCTTATCCTCTATCTCGAGAACCTCTCTGAGAATGCTCCAGACAGCCTGTGGTAATGGCTAACTTCTTCACGCGGCACACAGTTAACCAATGGAACTCCTTGCCAGAGGAACTCCTTGCCAGAGGATGTGGTGAAGTTCAAAATAAAACTAGATGTATTCATGGAGATTAGATTAGGTCCATCGATGCTTATTAGCCAGGATGGGTAGCAATGGTGTCCCTCGCCTCTATGTGTCAGGGGCTGGAGATGGGTGACAGGAGAGGGATCACTTGATGATTCCCTGTTCTGTTCACTTCCTCGGGGGTATCTGGCATTGGCCACTGTTGGAAGACAGGACACTGGGCTAGATGGACCTTCGGTCTCACCCAATATGGCCGTTCTTATGTTCTTATATTCAGACAGTAGACAAACTAGTAGAACAATTTTAGCTGCCAGATATACATCCACTTTAGACCTTAAAAAGGGATACTGGCAAATACCATTGAGGCCAGAATCCTCAGGCCACAAAAGCCTTGTCCACACCCTTGAGTTTGCATTTGTCATTTGCCCTCCACAAGATAGCAGCGACTGATCAGAGGCTAATCAATTGGATATTGTAAAGCTAGGGGTGGTGCCCAGTGGCATCCTACAGTGACCCATGGGAACAGTTCTTGGGTCCCATATCTTGTGGCAGCATTCCCCAAAACCGTGGACATGTCAGCACATTGCGCCCAGAAAAGAAAGGCATCAGCAGTTGCTAGGCTGAACAGCTTGCCGGACTCATTCACCTTGGCTATCTCACCCCTGGGATCTGCAATTGATTTTTTCACACTGGAGTTCTCCAGGGTCTACTTGTTCTTCACTCTGCTCACAGAGCAGAGGGAATTGTCTGGGAGTCCTGGCCAACAGGAGAGTCCACAGGGACTGTGAAGGAGAGTCATAAAGGTTGCTCCCAGCACACTGAATGTCAGAGATGTGAGTCATACACTGATTCTCAGAGCTCTGTCTTTATTTCTCAGGAAGGGAATTTCCTCTCTCTACTGAGCAGCATTTCGGTGAGTTGCCTCTTTCTGCATTAATATTAGTGCTGAGGGCTCGGGAAAGTTTCAGTGTTAAGTCAAGAACCAACTGGGCAGGAATTCAGCAGTACGACAGCTTGCAAGGGTCAGTCTTGTCCGAAACACCAAAGCTACATCTAGACTGGCATGATTTTCCGGAAATGCTTTTAAAGGAAAAGTTTTCCATTAAAATCATTTTAGAAAAAGAGCGTCTAGATTGGCACAGACGCTTTTCCACAAAAGCACTTTTTTCGAAAAAGCGTCCATGCCAATCTAGACGCACTTTTGCGCAAAAAAGCCCCGATTGCCATTTTTGCGATCGGGGCTTTTTTGCGTAAAACAAATCTGAGCTGTCTACACTGGCCCTTTTCTGCAAAAGTTTTGCGCAAAAGAGACTTTTGCCCAAACGGGAGCAGCATAGTATTTTCGCAAGAAGCACTGATTTCTTACAGTAGGAAGTCAGTGCTTTTGCGGAAATTCAAGCGGCCAGTGTAGACACCTGGCAAGTTTTTCTGGAAAAGCGGCTGATTTTCCGGAAAAACTGGCCAGTCTAGACACAGCCCAAGGCTATGTCTACACTGGCATGTTCTTGCTCAAGAACATCTATCATGGTATTTCGAAAAAGGTCCCAGACGCGATGATGCAAATGAAACATGGGAAATTCAAATCTGTGCTTCATTTGCAATTTTGCCCTCCTGCATTTGCATTCCTCTCTCGAAAGGGGACTGCAGTGTAGACATACCCATAGTGACATGAAGCTCCCAGGCCAGACAAACAGGGAATAGACATCCTATCTAATACCCAGACTTTTGGGGTGATTCAGATTGTAACAACGTGGACCACACTTTATCAGAGTGGCTCTGGCATCATCCCTTCTCCTAGTGAGGGGAGGTCACTGTGTGGTGGTTTCTGGGGTTGTGTGAGGGGATACACGGGGACTGGAGAGCCGAGCTGGAGGTTGAGGGAGCAGTCAAGGTGTGTTCATAGAGAAGAAGAGAGCACTGCACTCTGAGATAGGTGTGTGTGTGGGGGGGGTAGACAGAGAAGTGATCGGCGGTGGGGGGCAGATTGGAGGGGATACTCAGAGAAGCAGGCAGTGCTGGGGCGGTTTGGGCATGCAGGGTATTTCACACAGAGACGTAGACAGTGCTGCATGGTGGGGTTAGCAGGGGCATGTGCACAGGGAGGCGGACAGTGCTCCCCATTGTGGGGAAGGAGGAGCAAGGTGTAAACAGACAGGAGTGCAGAGAGACTGAACTTTAATTTCCCTTTCTGACTGGCGGCGTTTCACCGGTGGAAACAACTCGTCCAATCTCCCATCCTGCTCTGATGCTCTGTGCGTACCAGGATCTTCTCCGTACTACCCAATCACCCCGGGTCCCCCTCTAAGCTGCCCTGTGCCCCCCACGACTCTTCCTCTGCCGAGGGAAACAGTGGTCGTAACAAAATGGCAGAGCTGGATCCATAAATACTAAGGCCTTGTGCCCTTTGTGCCCATTCTCTCATTCTCTTCAGCAAAAACTCATAGCCCAGCATGAGTTTTTCCGGAAAATCAGCAGCTTCCAGAAAAATTTGCCAGCTGTCTACACTGGCTGCTTGAATTTTCGGAAAAGCACTAATGATCTCATGTAAAATCATCAGTGCTTTTCTGGAAAAACTATGCTGCTCCCATTCGGGCAAAAGTCTTTTTCTGGAAAACTGTTCCGGAAAAGGACCAGTGTAGACAGCAGAGATTTCTTTTCCGCATAAAATCCCCAATTGTGAAAATGACGATCGGGGCTGTTTTGCGGAAAAGCACATCTAGATTGGCACGGACGCTTTTCCACAAAAAGTACTTTTCCAGAAAAGCATCCTGCCAATCTAGATGCGCTTTTTCCGAAAATACTTTTAACGGAAAACTTTTCCGTTAAAAGCATTTCCAGAAAATCATGCCAGTGTAGATGTAGCCACAATGTTTGCTTCTGTGGAGGATACTTGGTTCCTTTCCTACATAGGCATTGCATCACAGAGCAGACCTCCAGTCCATCTAGTGCTCTGTCCCCTCTCAGACAGGGACAGCCTGAATGTTGTGAATGTATGTGTAAGGTACTGGAAATGTGATGATGGGTGTGATTTGACAATTGGAAGAGTGTCAGCTAGAAACTGGCTTGTGCCCTCGAAATATGTTGGCATAACGCCTTTCCAAAATACAGATGTAGCCATAGCAATGGTAGCAGGCTAGTCTCGTTATTCATGTAGTTGTCCAAACGCTTCTTAAATCTTGCTTAGCTTATTGTCTCAACTACCTCTTATTGCAACGAGTTTTGCAGACTAGTTGGGCATTGAGTGAAGAAGGCATTCTTTTTGTGTCTCCTTTGAATTTGACACATTTCAGTGTAATAGAAAAACTTCCAGATCTTGTGTTAGGACACATGAAGAACGCATTTTTGATCTACTCTCTGCCAGTTGGGGTTTTATACACTTTTCTCATATCCCCTCTTGTTCAATTCCTTTACGAGGGGATGCAGGAGTCCTGAGAAGACTGAAACATTGCGTGCCTGATCTCATGGCATTGCATTTTCTGCATGATTGCCCATCCCACTCCTCCTTGATGCCACAGCTGCAGGTTTTTTTACCCCACAGAGCTCTGTATTAGGTCTCAGTCCTGAGTTCATACAGTTGAATTAGAACCTTGTGAGGTGCCTGAGGAGCTCAGGTTTTCCATTCCAATGGGCAGACACATTGCAGTAACTGACATTGAATTTCACCTGCCAGCAAGCTGCAGGGAGAGATAAAAAGTAATCGTTTAAAAAGTGGAAGTCAGATCCTAGTGAGGAAAATGGAAAGGAGCATAAACTCTGTCACATGAAGTTAAAAATATAATTAGGAAAGCCAAAAAGGAGTTTAATGAACAGCTAGCCAAAAACTCAAAAAGTAATAGCAAAACATTCTTTAAGTACATCAGAGGCAAGAAGCTGACTCAACAACCAGTGGAGCGACTGGACAATCGAGATGCTAAAGGAGCGCTCAAAGACGGTAAGGTAATTGTGGAGAAACTAAATGAATGCTTTGCATCCATCTTCATGGCTGAGGATCTGAGGGAGATTCCCAAATCTGATTCATTCTTTTTAGGTGACAATCTGAGAAATTGTCCCAGATTGAGGTGTCATTAGAGGAGGTTTTGGAAGAAACAGATAAACTAAACAGCAACAAGTAACCAGGACCAGATGGCAATCACCCAAGAGTTCTGAAAAAACTCAGACATAAAATTGTGCAATTACTAACTGTGGTTTGTAACTATCCTTTAAAACATCTTCTGTACCAAATGACTGGGAGATAGCTAATATGAAACCCGTCTTTAAAAAGGGCTCCGGGGTGGTCCTGGCAATTACAGACTGGTAATTCTAAGGACAGTAGCGAACAAATTCGTTGTGGGGGAAAGTCAACACGGTTTTTGTAAAGAGAAATCATGCCTTACTAATCTACTAGAGTTCTTTGAGGGCATCAGCAAAGATGTGGATAAGGGGGATCCAGTAGATATAGTGTACTTAGATTTCCAGAAAGCCTTTGACAAGGTCGCTCACAGAGGCTCTTACATAAAGTAAGTTGACATGGGATAAGAGGGAACGACCTTCCATGGTTTGATAACTGATTAAAAGAGAGGAAACAAAGGGTAGGAAAAAAAGGAGAATTTTCAGAATGTTATGTTCTTATGTTCTTATTCACCTGGCTTGTCTAGCTCCCTGTGAAGACTTCTCTAGACTTGACTACAATCTAAATATTGTTGTACCATCTATAAATATTGCCATGTCTTGCTACCCCACTTTAGAAATTGATAATAATTTTATGATATTTACCCTATTATTCATCATAAAACATGTTTCTCCCCTCGCTATGCTTCTCTCCCTTCACAGGAGGGGTCTTGACTATTTCTGAGACTGATCATCATATTGACAATATCATGGCAGATTTCAACCTCACCTCCTCTGACCCTTCAACATTCATCCTAACAGGTGTCCCTGGTCTGGAAGCTGCTCACGCCTGGATTTCCATCCCTTTTTCTGTGTGCTACATGATCAGCCTGTTGGGAAATGTCACATTGCTGTTTGTGGTAGGCAAGGAGCAGACCTTGCACAAGCCGATGTACCTGCTACTCTGGATGCTGGCACTCGCAGACATAGGCACGTCTTCCTCCGTTGTGCCGAAGGCACTTTGCATATTTTGGTTCAATCTGAGAGGTATAACTGTGGATGGCTGCCTCACCCAGATGTTTTTCCTTCATATGCTTTCAGTTATGCACTCAGCCGTCCTCGTGACAATGGCCTTTGATCGCTATGTTGCCATATGCAACCCTCTGAGATACACCACCATCCTCACCAATGCACGCATTGCTAAGCTAGGGCTAGTAGGTTTGACAAGAGCTGTTCTCTTCATTTTGCCCATGCCTCTGCTCCTGAGCAGGCTGCCGTTCTGTGCCAGCCGCCTCATCCCCCACACGCACTGCGAGCCTATAGCTGTGGCGAAACTGTCATGTGGGGACATCACAGTCAACAGGATGTATGGCCTGGTGATCGTGTTTGCAGTAATTGGGTTTGACCTGACACTGATCACTCTGTCCTATGGTCTGATCATCAGGGCCATCCTCAGAATCTCTTCCAAGACAGCCCACCAGAAAGCCCTCAGCACCTGCACCGCCCACGTCAGTGTGATGCTGACGTGTTATACATCTGGTCTTTTCTCTACTCTCACGCACCGGTTTGGTCAGGGAATTGCTCCTCATATTCACATCATCTTGGCTGACCTTTATCTCCTTGTGCCCCCTATGCTCAACCCAATCATTTATGGGGTCAAAACCAAAGAGCTTCGTGACATAGTAGGCCAATGCATCTGCAGGAGGTGATTCTGCAGGACACCGACTATAAGCCAATCTTACAAGGACAGTAAAAAAAAAATCTCATTAATCAGCAGTGCTCTCTCCCAGTTTGAGCACTGTGGACTTTTACATTCAATAGCACCTTTTTTCAAGAGTACTTTTGAAAAAAGGCATTATTCCTCATAAAATGAGGTTTACAGCGTTCGAAAAACCTGCCACTTTCATTCGATTTACTTTCGAAAGAATGAGGCTGCCGTGTGGATGCAGCTGAAGTTTTTTAGAAAAAAACTAATTTTTTCAAAAAAAAAAACTGTAGTCTAGATACACCCTACATGTATGATAAAGAAGTCCATCCATGTATTCTATCCTCTTTGTCAGTTGGAAAGTCTAGCTTCTGTTTGTCAAACTGATCTAGGACTCTATTCCCATAGGGACTAATGGAAAGTCACACTTCAGTAGAAATCCGGAGCATCTTCTCATACCCTAGCAGTTATGTAAAGGCCGAGTGAAAAGGTGTGTGGGTTTGGGCCTGATGGGTGACATTGCAAGAAGTCAGGTGATGATCAAAGAAAGAGAACTCAGCAAGAGCGAGAGCAGTGACTGACAATGGTACGGTATGACATTAGGAGTGAGGAACCTCTCAGAGGGTATGTCTACACTACCCTCCTAGTTCGAACTAGGAGGGTAGTGTAGACATACCCTCTGAGAGGTTCCTCACTCCTAATGTCATACCGTACCATTGTCAGTCACTGCTCTCGCTCTTGCTGAGTTCTCTTTCTTTGATCATCACCTGACTTCTTGCAATGTCACCCATCAGGCCCAAACCCACACACCTTTTCACTCGGCCTTTACATAACTGCTAGGGTATGAGAAGATGCTCCGGATTTCTACTGAAGTGTGACTTTCCATTAGTCCCTATGGGAATAGAGTCCTAGATCAGTTTGACAAACAGAAGCTAGACTTTCCAACTGACAAAGAGGATAGAATACATGGATGGACTTCTTTATCATACATGTAGGGTGTATCTAGACTACAGTTTTTTTTTTTGAAAAAATTAGTTTTTTTCTAAAAAACTTCAGCTGCATCCACACGGCAGCCTCATTCTTTCGAAAGTAAATCGAATGAAAGTGGCAGGTTTTTCGAACGCTGTAAACCTCATTTTATGAGGAATAATGCCTTTTTTCAAAAGTACTCTTGAAAAAAGGTGCTATTGAATGTAAATGTGTTTTTGAAAGAGAGCGTCTAGACTTTCTTTCGAAAAAGCAGCTTGCTTTTTCAAAAAATCTGCGTGTAGTCCAGATGCTCTCTTTCGAAAGAGGCTTTTTGAAAAGATTCTTTCGAAAAAGCCTCTTTTGAAAGAGGCTTGCAGTCTAGCCATAGCCATAGTGAATCAGCAAGTAAAAGGTAGTTGTGCTTTACATCAGATCATTCAGGAAAGCTGGAGCGCAAGATAAAAGAAGACTAATAATAACAAAATAATTCAACATAAATTGTGAATGTCGACTACCATCACTGAATCAAATTAGAAAGAAATAACATAATAAGGATATTTTTTCACTAAATATGGATACGTCTACATCACACTATTATTTTGAGATAAAGAGCGTTATTTCAAAGTAACGTGAGTAATGTGAGTGTCTATACAGCCATTCCATAATTTTGAAAGAATTTCAAAATAACAGACAGCTTATTCTGAAATCTGTAACCCTCATTCTACGAGGAATTCTGTTCTGAAATAGCTATGTTGAAATAAGGCGTGTGTAAATGCTCCACTGCTGCTATTTCCCAATAGCCTCTCAACAGGGCCATTCTAAATTATTCCTCCCCAGTGCCTCCTGGGGCTCTAAATCGAGATAGCACTGCCACATGAGGCAAGCCTGTCTCAGACTGATTTTGAGGCTGCCCTGCAGTGTAGCCATGCTAATTCTAAATAAGCTATTTCAGAATATTTTGAAATAGCCGTGCCGTGCAGACGTACCCTTAGTTTTGAGATACTTTGGGATTATTTTGAACGCTGTCATTGGCTATGATTTGTTTGAAACACCTGCCTATCCTCAATCAGGTTGCAAATATTAGTATTGGGGGGTTTATTTCAAATGGGATTGTCTCCTCGTAGCTTTGTTGCTAATGTGGATGAACTGCTGACACGTGTAGCTTTTAAAAAAATGAATCTGGATTAGGTATCTAACGGTTATTCATCCGTTTAGTTGTTTCATTTGTTATTTTATGTATAGACAAATGTGTGAGGAGAAAAAAAAACTTTGTTTCATGGCATAGATTGGGCTACTAATTGGTGACTTTTTAAGTGACTTTTTGGCTGAAGAAATCTGGCAAAACGATAGAAACCAGAGGAGCCAGCGAAGCCTCCCAGAAGGCAGAGTAGGGCCAGAGGCACAGTGGTAGTTCTTGGGCAGAGCTTGGAAGCTGGAGCAGACCAGAGCTTGGATATGGGTTTGCACAAACCAGCTGCGCCTATGTGGAGCCAGGTTGGGCAACAGTGGAGAGCTGTTGGAGAAGAGCCAGGATAGTGGATACCAGGCATGCCCCAAGTAACCCAGCAGCTGAGTGGGACGTGCAACTGTGCAAAGCAAGATGGGTCCATGGGCAGAGGGCGCAGTGCAGGAAGACGTCTCCTGACAGGCAGGCCTTGAATGTCGGACTAACAGCAAGGGGGACATGAACCCAATGGAAGAGTGGATTCTGGGAAAAAGGGCCCTGCTTGTCAAGTCTATAGGCTCCTCTGGCCCACTGTAGGCCTTGGGTGCCACTTGCAGAAGTGTGTGAATATATTTATAGAACAACCACTTCTCCCACCATCTTTAACTATGGAATAGTTCACAAAGTCAACGTTCATCCTTGAGCTACCTTGGTCACACCCTGATAGGACACAGGGCACACACCAGTTTTCTCAGATGGATTCAGAACGACTGAAGGCCCAATGCACAGATGATATAAAGAGTCAGATGTGTGCTAGGGGCTGGTCAACCAAGGGACAACGCTGCACCTGTTCTACTTGGCTCATGATGGGGAAAGTCCTTTTCTAAACACTTGACCCAGAGTGTGCTCTGGGGATGGAGATGAGGGGAGGGTACTTAACCAGGCCTCCTGGAGCATGGGATGTGTTTCAGACTGTAATGTCGGACTACTTTATAGGAGACTGTCTCTCAGCTTTCTCATTTTGCCCATCTTTTCTTCCATGAGTAAGCCACTGCAGCCCTGTGGTAACGTCAGCAATTGCGACATGGAATAAACAGCCTCCGGAAGGCACGGCTGGGTTTCTAATGGTCTGAAATACGTTTACGCTTTAGGTCATTTTGAGGAAGAGTGGCTCACTCTGGCTCCTTTTGTTCTTCATGTCCTCTCTCCCTCCCACCAGAGCTGTCCCATTCTCCTTCCCTGAACAGCCTGAGCTGTGGATGGGATCCGCCTCATGCCTAGAAAGGCAGTTCAGGCTGATCTCTCCATTTTCTCCGAGGCAGACAGAGACTGAGTTATCCCAGTCCGATGAGGTATTTCTGTAAATACAAATGAGAACAAGGGGGGAAATCCCCTACTAACCATTCACGAACCCTCAGGGTGTCAGTGTCACATATGACGAACGTGATGTTGCAACCTAGGGTTGGTAAGATAAAATTTAGTCCTTGCAAAGTGCCAAAATAATGGCCACTGGAAATGATGGGCTAGGGCATGGTACTAAAAATGGCTGCCATTTCTGGTTGGTTTATGAAAATGGGTATAGGTATTTACATGGGTAAATGAGCCTTTTGTAGCGTCTCGATCTACGTTACTATGTTGGGGTGTTTGTACATTCCTTAATAAACTATACAGTGTAAATACAACAGTGTTTCTATAGTGCAGCGTGGGCTAACTATGGCCTGAAGGCCACATCCAGCCCATCCACAATTTCTATCCGGCCTGCCTCCCGCAGGAGAGGGTCACAGGCCATGCAGCTGATGAGCAGAGTGCGCAGAGCGAGCCCAACACGGTCAGAGGTCCATCTCCCCACTTTACTCTGCCCTGCAGCTGCTCCCAGCCAGGACCCTCTCGCTAACTGTGCAGAGCTGGGCGTTGGGGGGGAGCCAGGACCCTCTCGCTAACTGTGCAGAGCTGGGGGTGGGTGTTGGGGGGGGAGGGAGCTGTAGTAATGTCAGGGTTCCCCCTCTTCAGCTGTATCCCATCTCTGAAGAACAGGGGTCAGGGAGAAGGGACACAGACTGGGTCAGGAAAATGCTCTCAGAGGTCTACGTAAAGAGGCAATGCACTGGGTCTGAGATTTCTCCAGCAACCAAATGAGCTCACATGGTTTCTTTCTTTCTTTCTCACACTCACACGCATACTCGTACTCACACTCACACTCTTCCCCTAACCCCACTCACGTATCCCAGCTCCGAAACAGAGTGTGGGAGTTTCCACTGAGTGTTTTAAAGAGACAGCATGTGGCATCTCTCAGAAACTTCATCAGCAGCAGCCAGCACACACACACTCTCTGTGTGTCACACACGCACACTCCCAGTCTCTGTGTCGCACATACACAGACTGTCTCTGTCACACTGTGCCACACACACACTGTGCCACACATAGTCATACACATACATCCAGTCTGTGTGTCTCTGTCTCACACGCACACACTCCCAGTCTCTGTGTCACACATACACAGACTGTCTGTCACATTGTGCCACACACACTATGCCACGAACAGTCATACACAAGCACCCAGTTTGTGACACACACACACACACACACACACACACACACACACACACACACAATCTCTTTCTCTGTGTCACACAGTCTCTATGTCACAGAGCCACGGTTTCTCACAGACTCACACACATACTCCGGCTATGTCTACATTACAGGGCTTTATGGGAAAGAGGTACGCAAATTGCATTTTTTCAAAAGAGTCTTTTCCCAAATGTGGCCCATCTACACTGGGCCAAATTTCAGAAAAAATCTCTCTTTTGCAAGAGCCCTTCTTCCTTGTGGGAGGAGGAAGATGGGGCTTCCGAAAGAGCGCGTCTGCTCTTCCACAAAAAAAGCGGAAGAGCAGACGCGTTCCCTGGACACAACAAAGTTTTTCCGGGATACCATAGGTATCCCGGAAAAACCTCATAGTCTAGACATAGCCTCCCTATCTTGCTAGTCCCAGCCCTGCCCCTTCCTCCTGAGCCCACACCCCTTCCAGGGCCTAGAGCCCGCCACTGAGCAGTTACCAAATTTACCCTGCAAAAATCATTGCCCTCACCTGCTAGTGTAAGTGTTGTAACTTTGCAAACCGGAGTTCCCAGCTACAGAATAATTTAAATAATCCTGGGCCTCTA